TTGAGTTCAGTGCTAATAGTCTTCATCAATGGGTGCTTACGTCCGCCGCAATTGCCGTGAAAGTCGTCCGTATCGATGGACCACACGATAGCACCTCCCAGTCCTTTGCCCTTCAGGTACGACAGCTTATCCTTAAGGGATTTCTCGTCGTCATAACCCACCCATTGGTTACCCTTCACGGCGTACACCACTTTCTGGGTGTCGTCCCTATAGGCTGTCCACCCGGCCTTCAAAAACTCGCAAATCTATTCAATGAATAAAAATTTAATTTTATTTATAATTCATTAAACAGTTATACAAACACTGCGGGTATACCTCATTGTATCCTAATATACCGACTTCGTTGGTATAGGGGCCGGCATTACCACCTTTGCTGCCACTGGCACANCACGAGGTAATAAATTAACCAAAAATAATTAGTTTAAAATAAACTAAAGGTCAAACAATATTTTAATAACTTATACAAAATTCAATGCACACACTTTAAGTACTTAATGTTTTTATCAAAATGATGCTCTCTATATAATAGATTAACCTGGTGTTATCTACACTATTAGATATAATTTTTATATAAAGGTTGAGAAAATAGTATTTTATTTGTAGTGAAATAATTAATACAAATCAATAAAATGTGGATTACTTTGAATTTATTAGTGGTGTTAATAGTAGCTATAAATGCCACACCACTTAATGGTAATTAATTAACAATTTTATAAATTAATAAATTAATACTAGTTTAAATGTAATTTATATTGCCAGAGACAAATGGGACACCATATAACGTGGTGTGCTATTGGGGCTCATGGTCGTGGTATAGAGATGGTGGTGGAGGCAAAGGAAAGGTATGTGTTTTAAATAGTATTATTGTATTATTGGCGTAACCTTATCAAATATAAACAAATATAACCCTGCTCAATGGTATACCATAGTTCGCACCCGAGATGTCTAACCCCCTGTTGTGTACACACATGATGTACGGGTTCGCCAAACTCGGCGCCGGCGGTGAGATAGAGGTCATGGAAAATGATCTGGATTTAGGCGACACTGACTACAAAAGTGGTCTACCCTGGGGAGAGGGTCAGTAGGCTCAGCATAATCTAGCAATTAAACATATGTTTGATAGCGAACCCTTTTATTGTGGTGGACAGGTATGTACCGGCGTATTGAGCACTTGCGTGATGTCAACCATAATATGAAAGCCATGATATCAATCGGGGGTTGGAATGAGGGGTCAGACAAGTACTCGCAAATGGCCAGTAGTCCGGACTCACGGAAAAAGTTTGTTAACTCTGTCGTTAAGTTTATACAAACCTATAAATTTGATGGACTCGATGTGGACTGGTATGCAAAACATGAAAAACTGTATCTCCGATAGCTATCTAACATTTGCCACTTTTGATTGCATAGGGAGTACCCGGGCTTTAAAGCTGTTGGTGAGGCCGACCGCGTACCCGGTAATCCGAAAGATAAGGAAAACTATATATCGCTGTTACGTGAGCTCCGGGCTGCCCTTAAACCACACAACTATTTACTGTCAGCGGCTGTAAGTGCGGGCAAAAAGACGATTGACATCTCGTATGACGTGAAACAGTTGAATGAGTTGTTGGACTTCATTAACGTAATGGCTTATGATTTTCATGGCGGCGCCTGGGAGAATAAGACAGGTCAGTTTGGGTGCTAACAAATTGATCTAGGTATTTTGCTTATTTGTGTGTATTTTTAGGACATAACGCTCCCCTATATCCCGACCCTAAAGCTTCGGAGGAGGACAAGGAGTTGACGGTGTCCTATGGCGTGGAGTATTGGATTAAACAGGGGGCTAACCCTAAGAAATTGGTAGGTGCTGTTTAATGTTTTGAAGATTTTTATTTACATAAGCTGGGTTAATTTGTGTTAATACCAAAAGTTAAATATTCATGGCCAGTAAGATTGTCCCCGCGTATCAATACATAAGAGAAAGTAAATGTGTGTTAATTATAATAAATTTAAAATACAGGTTATTATGTGTTTTAGTTTAAAATAACTTTAATAAACCTATTGTTTTCCACCCACTAACTATCCAATGAATTACAATAATACCTTGATAAATGTATAATTAACAAATTGACAGTTTGTAGAGGTTATAAATTGTTTGTAAAATTATATTCATACACAGTATAAGTAGAAAATATTTGCACACTATTAAAATATTCATAATTAGTATAGAAAATTATTGATTGACCTTTCATAGATAATATAATTTTTATAAAATATTAAAGTTGAGATTAGAGGACCCAAAGATATGTATAAATTTTTGTAAAAATGTACCAATCTTATTGTCTTTAAAAATATACAGTTTATAATTAATTATGTTATAAGGTTGCCATTTTGAAAATATTTAACTTATTTTTACAATAACCCTAAATTAGATGATGGGAATGGGAACATATGGCCGATCATTCACCCTGGCCAATGCTGCCCAACATGGTATAGGTGCTGCCTGTGCCAGTGGCAGCAAAGGTGGTAATGCCGGCCCCTATACCAACGAAGTCGGTATATTAGGATACAATGAGGTATACCCGCAGTGTTTGTATAACTGTTTAATGAATTATAAATAAAATTAAATTTCTATTCATTTAAAAGATTTGCGAGTTTTTGAAGGCCGGGTGGATCGCCTATAGGGACGACACCCAGAAAGTGGTGTACGCAGTGAAGGGTAACCAATGGGTGGGCTATGACGACGAGAAATCCCTTAAGGATAAGCTGTCGTACCTGAAGGGCAAAGGACTGGGAGGGGCTATCGTGTGGTCCATCGATACGGACGACTTTCACGGCAATTGCGGCGGACGTAAGCACCCATTGATGAAGACTATTAGCACTGAACTCAATGGTATTACCGGTGAACCCGACCCTGACATACATGAGGTTCACGTGACCCCTGCACCAACCCATAAGCCTTTATTATAGATTATAAAACTAATTTTCAATTGAACCAATTTTAATAATAAGTTTTATTAAAATAAATGAGTTTTTATTAGTTTTATATTAATAAAATGTACTGCATAATATTAGATTATAAGTATAAATAAAGCATTGTATTATCATTATTAATATTACTAGTTAATAAATTATTACGTGTTAAAATGGTACCTAAATATTTGGTTTAATCAGGTCTTTATCATATGAGTACTATTAGGGCAGGTAAATAATACTTGTAATTGATACCTTGGGTATTTGGAGACTTGAAACTTAAATATTATCCGGTTCAGATTTAGTTCGATTAAAAAGGGGATAACTGTTATTATTGTTATGAAATCAATTACACAGGTAATTTTGTTTTTAAATTAGATTAATCAATCAATTATTTGTGTAATGAATTTAATGATAACAAATACAAAAATAATAAATTGAATATTGTGAAAATATTATGTTTTTCCATACGCTACAATTATTACAGATTAGCTAGGTGTTATCTAAAAATATATAAATATAATTTATATATAAAGTGGCAAAACTAATATTTTATTTATAGTAAAATAATTATTACAAATAGTCGCAATGTTGATTATTTTAAATTTACTAATAGTGTTAGCAGTGGCCATAAATGCCGCACCACTTAATGGTAATTAAATTATCAGTTACATTTTTAAAAGTTAAAATAATAATACTATTTTATTTCCAAAAATAATATTACCAGAGACAAATAAAACACCGTATAACGTGGTGTGCTACTGGGGATCATGGTCATTTTATAGAGATAGTCATGAAGGCAGAGGGAAGGTATGTTTGAAAACAATTCCATTAATAATTACTTACTAGAGAATTTTAATGTACGAAAATTATAATTTATAAATAATGTGACCCTGGTGTATATATAACTAGTTTACACCAGAGATCTCAAACCCCTTGCTCTGTACGCATATGATGTATGGGTTCGCCAAACTCAGCGACGGGGGAGAGATACAGGTGTTCGACCCGGACCTGGATTTAGGCGATACTGATTGGGAAAGTGGTCTACCCTGGGGAGAGGGTCAGTTGTTTTGAATAATACCATAATTTTAGTACTCTATTACATGATGTGGTGGACAGGTATGTACCGGCGTATTGAGCACTTGCGTGATGTCAATCCCGATATGAAAGCCTTGATATCAATCGGGGGTTGGAATGAGGGGTCAGACAAGTACTCAAAGATGGCCAGTAGTCCGGACTCACGGAAAAAGTTTGTTAACTCTGTCCTCAAATTTATACAAACAAATAAATTTGATGGGCTCGATGTGGACTGGTATGCAAAATACCAATACATACCTAATACAGTATAACTTTATACAACCATTTCCCCATACGATTCAATAGGGAGTACCCGGGCTTTAAAGCCTCCGGAGAGGAGGACCGAACCCCCGGTAATCCGAAAGATAAGGACAACTTCGTGGCACTGTTACGTGAGCTCCGGGAGGCATTCAAACCGCATAACTATTTACTGACGGCTGCCGTAAGTGCGGGCAAAAAGACGATTGACGTCTCGTATGACGTGAAACAGTTGAATGAATTGCTGGACATTATTAACGTAATGGCCTATGATTTTCATGGCGGCGCCTGGGAGAATAAGACAGGTCAGTTTTGTATATAAATAAATTTTGGTAATTATATTAATAAACCATTTGAACGACCAT